AACCCCTCGATGAGTGATTGAGCAGAAAAACAAGCTACGTAAGTGTTGAGCTCAGTCTCACACGAGCCATTAGGTCCACAATGGCTCACCACTTGATTAAAGGATGGATCATAAATTTACACCAATGAGTAGCAATCACTTCCATTTTTTTATAAGGTTTATTTCCATTGGTGTTCTATATCTCTGTTGAGATTCAGTGACCGACGGCGTTAAAGTTTTTACTAAGAGGGAAAAACGGTCAAAATATGAAGAAGTAAACTTATAAAGAAACCAAAGAGTATTAATATATAGTATATATTCATAAGAAAATAATTTTACGTAGTCACACAGTGTAATTTTCTGATAAAGGGATGTCAGTTGACACTGCTTTAGTACATATGGCTCCGCCACTATTAGGATCCTGACTAATTCAGATTCGTACTACTAGAGCCGCCAAAATAGGCTTAGTCCGTGAGGCCAGCCCAACCCAACTTGCTATTTGGATAAAATTGAGATTTTTTTAGCCCATTTAAAACTGAGACTTATAAGCCCGACCCAAGTTAGCCCGCTGACCCTTGAGGCTGGACCTGGGCCAAAAACTAACTAAATTCAAATTTAAATATTTAATATTTAGAAAAAGTAAGAGCTAAAAAACTATTAATTATAATCCTCATTACCCAATCTTAGATTGCTCATTTACCCTTTCATATCAACTAGAATTTAGATTTTTGATATGCATGCAGCATGACAAGATTGGTTTTTCTTTTGCTTAGTTAACATAGAACTAGAAAAGTTTTAAGTGACCAATTATAATTATTTTTAAAATAAAATATTACTTTAAGTGGCAAATGATTAGTTTGGTTACTTTAGTATATTATTAATAATTAAACTGCTCTTCAATATAGAAAAATGTCAAATTTTAATACCCAAAGAAAATTGACAACACTGGCAAATTTTACGAAGTTTAAAATTTTTATGGATTATAATGATGAAATCATCAAATGATGTTAAACCTAAATTAAAAAATCTCAACATATAAATTTATTGAAACAATCCCTGAACCCTAGGAAAGTGAAAGAAATGTATTAGAAAAATATTCATTGTGATATTAAAAAAGAAGAGTTAGAGATATAAAAAATTTATATTTTAATTACGAGATTCCTTTTTAAATATCAGGATTCATGTATGCTCTAATCAAACAGAAGTCATTCATATGATTAAGAGACTTTGCCACAAAGAAACATTTAAAAATTTAAAGAGAAAAATTTTCTAAAAAAATTAAAGGGCAGACCCGTCCTAACCCGCGACCCTCTTAGGGCTGGCCATTTTAAAGCCCATTTAGATGGCGAGCCCGCCCACCCGCCCTAGCACACCAAATTTAAAAGCCCGTGAGGCTTGAGCTGGGCCGACCCGTTTTGACGCCGAAATTGTAGCATTGTATCTGTGTCTTTTTTGTAGATTAACAACAATTCATTGTGAATTGTCCCCATGGATCAATTTTCTGTGCTGTAATTAAAAAATAGCCACTAAAAATTGAAACTTCCTGACAATATTTTAAAATTTTACTGGTAAAATTGAAATTCCATGGTGACTGATATTCAATTACAGAGTGTATAAAGTGGCTATTTGTGAAATTTCCCTAACTGTACTTGATCAAGCCCATTGGTCCAGGAGCACAGCCCAATCTGACAGAAACCTTAGACCACTGAATTTCACATGCATAGCACGCTCCTAAAGGCAGAAGCGTATCCAAATTTAATATTCACATATAAAACAAATAATTTTTAATCTATATACACAATATAAGTTTTTATATACAAAATATAATTTTTCGATAAAGGGTATTCGGTTGATCATCCTTTAATGTATGTGGCTACGCCACTGATATAGTAGTAAGTACTCATTCATTTTTAACCAGAGTTCTGAGGTTCGAGACATAAGTATAAGATCATCTTTATTAAAAAGTACTATCTCCGTTTCAGTTTATGAACCTATTTCTTTTTTGGTCCGTTTCAAAAAGAATGACCCTTTTCTAAATTTGGAAATAATTTTGCTTAAATTTATAATTTTATCCTTAATGAGAAACTTTTATAATCACACAAATACTTTGTGTTCCTTTTTGAATTGTTTAGAATCATAAATTTTAAAAGTTTTTATTTATTTTTTAAATTTCGTACCTATTTAAATAGGTTCACGTAAATTGAAACAGAGGAATTAATGTATATTTCAACGTGAGCACGACTTTAGTCGGAAACCGTGTGTAAAACCAATAAATAAAAAAAGTTTTGCGCAACACGCGATTTCACGTGCGCGATTACTGTTCAAACGCATGCGCGAGTTGTTTCTTTTGACTAAAAAGTGTGTCGTTAATTGATTGACAATGGACTAAAAAGATCTGACGGTGATCATCATACAAAAAAGTGTTGCACGTTATCGTAGCCGTTGATAGGCAGGGACAACTCCCGAGAGAGATTGAATGTCCTATTTTGTTGGTTGAAAGTTGAAACATGGGAAGTCCGACAATTAGATGACATGTCGGGTAGTAGGGTAAGATACGCTGAAAATAATAGGGGCTAATCAGTTTTTGGAATTATAATTGAAAAATAATTATTATTTATAAAGTTATTGAAAAATAGTCATTATTTTACTATAATACGTAAAGTTTTAGCATAATATACTGGAGATTGATACACTTGTGTATGAACTTTCATCATATTATGCTGGAAATCCAACACACAGAAAGTTCCAACATAATATACTGTAGATTGGAGCACATATCTATGAACTTTCATATATTATGTTGGACCAATATATTATGCTGGAATATTTTCCGGATTTTGAATAGTATTTTCGTTCATATTTATCTTTTAATGAAAAGTAGCTAATTTTTTATTATTTTTAAAATTATGACTATTTTTCAATTACTACTTGCAAATCTGGCTATTTTTAAATTTATCTTAAGATACAAGGGAGACGATGAAGAATAAAATAGATGAGAGGAAAAAATATTTTTATTTTTACTAACTGAGTGTTGAGTTAGTAATCTATCCTAAGAAAATGACATTTTTTATATTAAAAAAAATTCAGTTTAATTTTTAATTTATCCTAAACAAAATGCTTTTATAGCAAAAGATATCTCATTACATATTTAAAAATATAAGTTTCAAAAATATTTTTTAAATTTCGTCTTTAGTGAAACATCAACAATTCAATTGAAATAGAGATAGAAATTTATAAGTTTGGCTATAGATGATAGCATATAAGTTACTATTTTTATCATTATATTTATTAATATGCATTTATCATATTACAACATTTTTTTGGGACTAAAAATATGCTTGATGGGGTAAGCCAGACAGGGAACAGCTCATGCCACGTGGATAATGATGAGCTGGAGGGCATTTGTTGACACGTGTAAGAAAGTGGCTTGTGGGACCACGAGAAAGGGACATGGGCCTTTTTGTGATGATGTTTTACACGAGATGGGCTGAGGAGGTTTTTCCATTTTCCAAATTTGCAATTTGCTATTGCCTATTTATGTAGTACAAATGATGTCTACCAAGAATTTATTGGAAGATTTCAAAAGGGGACCAAAGATGAGCTTTTTGTTTGCACAATGGGTGACCACTAACATGTCTTTTGTAGATGATGCATATACATATTAAAAAAGAAAAACAGCTCACTCGGCGTTAATAATATAAGCTCCTCTTTTTGTGTAGCTTTAGGGTAAGACAACCTGCTTTACAAAATATTTGGTAGAAAAGCTACACCATAAGAGTGTGATGTAGGCAACCTACCTTAATGCTAGCATTAGTAATCATTTTCACGTCTCGAACTCGTGACCTATAGATCACACGGAGATAACTTTACCATTACTCCAAAGTTTTTCTTCAGTCTGGTGCTATTAATGAGAATTATTTATATATTTAACTTCCGGGAAAATATGTTCTTCTATCTTCTGATTAGGAAAGTGACACATACTAAATGGTAGCAGGTGTTTATTAAAAATATAGGACTTTACTAAGTGGTAATACGATGTATAGACCTTGACACTTGTGCTGGAACGTTAAAAGGAAAAATCTCTTTACCATTTTGCAGCCATTTTCTCAAAATTTGACAAACCAACAAACCTCTTGAATTATTTTTGAAGAAAATAGAAAGGAATCAAATAATTTAAAGCAAAGAATTCACTTTGAAAAGTTTAAGGCCTTGCCAATTAATTTGCAAAAATAGTGAAACTTCTTATGGAATAAGGATAAAGACTCAAGAGGCTATTCGAAGTTAAACAAAAGCACGTGTTATTGGGCTGGGCCCTGTCTGATTTGAAAAAGTAAACCTAGGGAGCTGCTAGGGTCCATTGGCCCCATGCCATTACCAATGTTCCTATCATTTGCATAATGAAAAAGAAAAGAGAATTAAATCGTAAGCAAACAAATGATTTTTTATAAGTTTTAGCAAATAATGTACTAAATTCAAAAGCAAAACATGTTTTAAGTCATCGAACAAATTTTTAATGAAAAATACTTACTCACACTTGACGCACATACTAAAACAAACAAGTGAATGACATGCATCTTCTTCATAGAATTTATCACTAACCACGGTTAACTAATATGTGACTTTAGTTTATTACTCAATTATGGTAAATTAATATAGGTTGTACTTGCATTGTTTCTATATTTTGACTTTGTCATGATCAATCCCTCATTAGGGACTAACTTTCGAGTAAAACAAAGTTTAAGAGGCATCATAAACAAGCCAGTGTTTTATCTCTAAAAGTAGCATTGAAAAAATGCTCCTTTTATGGGCACAAATAAATCACGTTGACTGAATCACATTAAATATTTATATTTTTTTGGTATATTTTTTTTTTTGTTATCTGATTTATCTGTCATTTAAGATCTATTTTGTTAGCTTGCGCACGACACCCGATTATTTCGATATTAATATTAACGGGCCGCCTTATGCGATGAGATTTTGTCCATGGATATTGAATGGTTAAATAAAATAAAATATAAAAAACCACAAATTATTCTTTTATATGTAAAGCAGTAGATAGCGAGAGATGTCCATTTTAAACAGTCTACACAGGTGATATTTCCAACTTGTTCTACTTACTATATATTAAAAGAGCAAAGGAAAAGAACAATCTTGAGACTTGCTGCTGCAGTGCACTGCAGAGTCTTCATAGGCAGCTAAATTCAGCTCAAATTTCTCTGTATCCAAATCCCAAAGTTATCTTTCTTTTTCAATAAAATTCATGTCACCTCTGTCTATAAAGTGAAACAAAACAGCCCCTCATGTTTTTTCTCCTTACCCTTAATGTCTTGAGTCTAGTGTCAGTAATACTTTGTTCCTTTTATAATGGTGTCAAATTCTTGAAAAGCTCATAAAACACTACCATAACTATCTTCCCAAGTTCTCATATTTTGTTAGTTTCTTGAAAAAAGAATAGTAAAAAAGACATGATTTTGTTTCTTGGTTTGGTAACTATAATGGTGTCAAATTCTTGATAAGCTTACAAGTTCTCATATCCCAAGTTCTTGAATTTTTGTAGGTTGGGTTTTTACTCTACCATAGTTGTCTTACCAAGTTCTCGTATTTTGTAAGTTTCTTGAAAAAAAGAAGAGTAAAAAACACATGATTTTGATTGGTTTTTAAGCATTTTCAGTTAATGTTTTTGTAATTATGATGGTGTCAAAATCTTTAAAAGCTCATATAATTACCAAAACTGTCTTCCCAAGTTCTCATATTTTGTAAGTTTCTTAAAAAAAGAAGAGTAAATTTACACATGATTTTGATGGGTTTTTGACAGTTTTTAGTTCTTGTTTTGGTAATTATAGTGGTGGTCAAAATCTTGAAAAGGTCATAAAACTAACATTACTGTCTTCCCAAGTTCTCATATTTTGTAAGTTTCTTAAAAAAGAAGAGTAAAAAAGCCATGATTTTGGTTGGTTTTTGACCATTTTAGTTCTTGGTTTCAATATCTTGAAAATGTCATATAACTAACATAACTATATTCCCAAGTTCTTGAAATTTGTAGCTTTCTTGAAAATAGAATTATAGAAGAGTGAAAAAAGACATGATTTTGGTTGGTTTTTGACATTGTTTAGTTCTTGATTTTTTGGTAAAATTATGGGAGAAGAAGAGGGGTGGGGTTGGACACCTACACCAAGTGGATCACCAATGTACATAACAAAAGATGATCATTGGACTCATTTTGATAACTCTGTTAATGCTGTTTCCTTTGGATTTGTTGCCACTGCCATTCTCATCTCTATGTTTCTTGTCATGGCTATTTTTGAGAGGTTTCTCAGACCCAACTCGCCGGCTTTGTCGCCGTCCGGTAGCCGGAATCTTGGTGACATTGATTCCCAAATTGGTTTCAATGGAAAACTTGGTTATCCAACACAAAAAGTAAGTGTTTTTTGCTGGAATTTTACTTACAGTAAAATGTTTTGTTCTAATTGCATTGTAGCTGCTGGTAATTGTTCTAATTGCATCTCCTATTTAGGAATTAGTGAGTGTCCTTGATTTCATTTTTTTGGGGCAAAAATATCCAGAGTTGTCTTTTAAGTTAAAGACTTTTACAGCCCAAAGAATTTTTTTTTCAAAAGTACTTTTATCAAAAGTAGTGAGAAACAATTTGTGTTTGGCTAATTAATTTAAAAAATAGTTCTGTGCAGCAATTAGTATTTGGTCAAGTTTTTGTGTATTTTTCTCAAAATTATTTTTCAAAAAGTTAGCTTTTTCAGAGAAGCTACTTTTTTATGCTTATGCAAAATTGCTCCAGCTTATTGGAGAAGCTTGGCCAAACATGCTATTAGTTTAAAATTTTAGGATAAAATAAGTACCGACTAATATCTTACTAGCATCTCTGAGGCCGGTTCGGGCTACAATGACTATCCGTACACTTGGCCCCAAGTTTTGCTTTCTTAACAATGTTTATGAGGCCGGTTCTTTGTGTCCTTGTGTTTGATGGGCTTTAAACACATTTGGCTGGTCGATCGAAAATCATTATAACCGCTAACCAAATATATAAAAAACATATACAGATTATGTATTAAGTTGCATATGACTTCCCTCGAGAATCAAGATTGTGTACACAAAAGAACACTTCTATTATTTTGGTGTCTGAGCATCAAGAAGTTAGCTTTTTCTATCGGCCAAAATTAATATGATCTAGTACTTTATGCAGTACCTGTTGATTTTGGTGTATTGGAGCATAGCCCCCATATATGTACATGACTTCCATAATTCCATTAAGGTCCATCACCACTTATCTTAATGAGATGGAATGCCAGCCTTGTAGAAACTTTGTGTTTATTGTTTAGGGATCGTTTGGTAGAGTGTATAAGAATAATATTTAATAATGTTTATTAGTAATGCTGGGAGATGTTGGGATTTGTTATGCGCGGATTATTTCTTATCGACAGTTTGATTTCGTGTATTAAAGGTTTTGAAAGAGGAGTTCTGTCTTTATACATGCTTATCCATGTATTAAAAACCACGTTATTGCTAATGTCATGGTTTGCTATGTATAAGAATAGTACTGAATAAAGTGTATAACTAATATAAATATTGGTTATACAAAGGAAAATCACTACCAAACGAGGGATTAATAATACCAAAGTTAATACATGTATTATTCTCTCTAATACATCCTATCAAACGGCCCCTTATAGTATTATAACTCCTTTCCAGCTCAAATTACATGTATTATACACGACTAGCTTCCGTATTGTGGCATAAGTAGTATTTTCTTAATGTTGGTGTCCAGATCAACTTACATGCATCTAGACTATTTCACTAGTTACCTGCTATTTTCCACCAATACAAATAACACACCAAAAAGACCGTGGGATAAAGAAGGTTCAAATTGCAATAGAGACAAAAAAATATTAGGCGATATCTTTACATTTGCCTAAAGATTGGTGAACAAAATTACTCGTTACCATTGTTTAGGTCCTTTCCTGGTTATTTATTATTACATGTTGTGTCATTTGCTCCTATTGTTTTGTTGTTGTCACTGTTTGTTAGTTTATTTTCACTGTTCCTTGAGTTGAAGGTCTTTCGAAAACAACCTTTCTACCTTCACAACGTAAGGGTAATATCTACGTACACATTACCCTCTTCATACCCCACATGTGAAATTGCACTGGGTTTGTTGTTGTTGTACCATTGTTTAGGTCCTATGTTTTTCGGAGGCTTTTAAATCCATTTTAGTAAAAATTTATAGAGTATCTGATAGTTTTGTTTTAATTTTTATTTTGTATAATGTTTGCTGAAATTATACGAAAAAAACATGGTTAGTGAGATTTTATATAACCGATCCCAACTTATTTAGAACTGAGACGTTTTTGTAACTTCTTTAGTGTCTTGAGCCATATGATTTATCCAAAAAGAGGGGGAAAAGGAAAATGTCTTCAGTCATATGACATTACCAATTCTAAAGAGATGTTTCTAATTAGTTCCTTATGACAATTATTTTGAAGGGGGCATGCTTTATTTTTTAAAATCCTGCTCAATGATATAGATATTATACAATTACTTCACCTTTTGTTGGATAGGGAAGTAATGTTCATGTGCTGGTAAACATTGATAGTTGCTGCCCATACTCATAATATTAAGTCTTTGCCCTGGACTTCCACCTTTTAAACACTATATAAAAGGAGAAATATTTTAGATAGTTAGATATGTACTAAAACATATGACAATGGAATACAAAACTAGTTACTTTACAGGTTGCTAATTGCACTATATATATATATATATATATATATATATAAATATAAATTTGCACTTGAGTTGATGCAACGTGCAAAATTTATTTAACTAGCTATAACATGTTATGATTTTGCTCTCAGGTATCAACAAATGCCCGAGAAGTATCAGTGTTGATGCCAGGGGAAGACATCCCTACTTTTATAGCTAATCCTGCTCCTGTACCCTGTCCTCCCGAACGCGATCCATGGCCTCCCCATCAACAGAATTCCTTGCCCGGTTTCTTGAACTCCGACTCAAATGCATAGTCCTAGCTCAATCTGAACTCCAACTCAAATGCCAAATTGATGAATCACAAAATTATTAGGAGTTCTTCGTGTGGCTTTTTTGTCCCTCCTCTTGGCTCCTTAAATTATGTACATACCATTTAAACATTGAATTCTTAGCTCAGCTCGTGGCCTCTATCTTCAGAATGGTTCGCCTGACTAATATGAATGAATATTACGTTATTAATAGAGTAAGTTGTTCTTTAAGCTGTGCTTATATTTTTATTATTTTAAAAAAAATTTCAATCCAAATCTTTGGGATGGAAATAGCACGAGAAGTTTTCGCTTTTGCTTAACTTTGTTGCCATTATCTTCCAGATTTTCCAAATTGATGCCATCGCTGTCATTGGTATGTTAAAAGGTTGAATTTAGGACTTTAATTTGCATTTGGGCATAGTCTTGCGTGAGCTTAGAAGTTGGAAAAATAGCCTGATAAATTAAATCTAGACATAAGATTCGGAGGCGTGAAAATTCACTCTTCTTAAATTACACGTCAAGTGCATTTGCTATAAAATGCAGGTGGTTTTTGGAGTAATTGGTCTTCAACGCCGCCCCATTTTTGGTTGCAAAATGGGGATGAATAGTGTCACTCCAAATTTGGAGCGATCTCTTCATTGCTATTCTATATTACTTTATTATTATTTTTATTATTTAACTCTTTTAATTTATCTCTTTATGGAGCATACTAGAGATGGAAGTTGAATATTTATGTAGTATTTAATCTAAATTTTACCATAACCTAATATGTATTTAATTATCTTGTATCTCAAAGATCTCACTTTTATTTGAATTATCCGTTAATATATATAATCTATAATATTTGCTTACAAATTATATTATTTAAAAATTTATAGTATAAAATAATTTTATATTAAATGGTCATATAAGAAATGAATATAAATTATATTTGATAAATATGTAAAAAAGGAAAAAGATAGAATCTTTAATAGAAATAAGAAAATAAAATTTAAATAAAAGATAATAATATAATATTAAAGAGAGAAAAGAATATAAAATGGAATATTCTTTTTTGGAGTAAAAAATGGAGTAATGATTGGAGTAAATTTACTCTATTTTGGAGGAGAAAATGGAGGCAAGGGTTGGAGATGACCTAAGTTGATAAAAATACATGCAAGTCTCTTGAGGTGATTATCAATTTTTCATAGATATTACAAACTTTCTAACCCGAATTCTTGACCTTCGCTCAAAAGCGGACCCAGGATTTAAGCATGACAGGGGCACTATTATCTTTATTATGCCAATTACCAACGATAAAGTTCAGGGACAACTCTTTGAAATGACTATGATAATTTATAATCAAAATAAAAACATCAATATTATCGAATACCATTAACTTGATACTAATATAACAAAAATACATTGTCCACTCATAGTTGAATTCGACGCGCTTTCATATTTTGAAAACTGTCAATAATAACATCATTGTTTATATTTACAAATACTTCCTTCTCAAACTAACAAACTAAACAATAATTTAAAAATGTATCACTAATACTACTACGCAATTCATGTTTGATGTACTTCATGGATGAGAATGCTCTTTGTACCGTTGAAGTTGCGACAGGTAAAATTAAAGTCTACTTCACAAGCAAATAAACAAGTGAATAAGTGTCCATAAGATTTGCCTCAACCAATGTTTTTGCCAAATCACCAATTCATTCCAAATCAGAGAACCTAGGGTTACCATGTTGCATGTGCCATATGAAAGTGTCAAGTTGTCAACTAAGATCTCGAAGCTTCAATTCACCAAACTAATCGGGATAGTACTTGACCAATGTCATTATTCTTTCCTTATCAAAATTAGCAAATGCGTTAGCCGGATTCAAGCTAGCCATACCAAGAATCAAGTTACTACTCACAATATCAAAACGACTATTAAGCTCCAGAAGTTGCAAATCAATCACAACATAAAAAAGGTCAACACGTAAGTGATGTGAATAAGTAACGCTAGAAGGCCTGCGATTCGACTTTCCAAGAATATAGAATTCTTCCATCTTGGGCACCGAAATTTCATGTTTTGTACAAAATAAAGATACTTCATCCATCAATGATTCCCATCCTTCATCTCTCATTCCTTGCAACCTTTCCTTTATGATATCAAAAAATATCATGGTATTGATAATATCTTGCTCTTTCGTCTGGAAAGTTTTGCTCAACTCGTTTGACATTATCAAAACTTTCAACATTAAGTGAAACAAGAAAACAAATTCAAATACTTTAATTTTACCCAAAAAAGCTTCTGCTTGTAGCCTATCATTAACATCACCTTCACATTCAATCACCCCAAGCACATGAACAATAGAAGAAAATAAAATAACAAAGTTATCCAATGTTTTACAATGTGATCCCCAACGAGTGTCACCTGGCCTTTGAAGCCCTCGCTCTTGATTTAATCCTTTCCCACTTTGAACTTCACCACTCTCTAGCAATTGCTCAAACAATTCTGCTTGATATTTCTGAAGTTGATCTCTATGCTTAAAAGAAACTCCAATTATATTCAACACATTAGTAACTATAGCAAAGAAAGTTTCTTATGAAGTAACTATAGCAACACATTAGTAACTATAGCAAAATCGTTCACGTTTTAGTCAGAAAGTATTGATTTATGTTCCCAAAACTAATGAAAGTGTACAAATTGCAGGAATGTTGGAAATTTAGGCTCTTATGTAAAAATCAAACTAAAAAAGGAGTGTTCCGACTCACAAGGCAAGAAGGGGCACAACACACGAAAAGTGCGGTCCGCAAAAGCAAGTGCGGACTGCAGAATTTCGTCTGCGGTCGCAGAACTGATGAAGAAGCCCAGCAGTACTTGAAGTAAAAGTTCGTACCGCACACGATTTGTACGGCCGCAGAACATGATCCACATTGACAAGAATTCAAAAAGTTCACAGAGTGTGCAAATGATCAAGACTAAAGCTTTGCCTGAAGTGCGGACCACACAAGTATTGTGCGGCCGCAAAAGCCGACTTGTGGCCGCAGACCAAATTATGCGGCCGCTGAATCCAGTTCGCTAATCTTGTTCTCCGAGTTCAAGTATTAGCGGCAATTAGATTTTGATCAGCAATAATTATTCGTTAGTGGCAAATAGAGGTAATGACCACTAAAAACTAAAAATTTGAAAGAAGTCTTTCCCTCAAATTCCCTAAATTTTCAAATCCCTTCGTTCTAAGCTCTAAGAATTGCTTCATTCCTTCCATCATCGCCGGTCCTTCGTGTTTCGGTGCCTTCTCTTAGAATTCCTCAATGATATGTCACCTTCCATTTTTATTACTATGACAATTGTCTTCATGTAGTGTTCGTACTTATTCTCTTCTTTGTAATTTCTATGCATCTCAAAAGACACCTTTAGGCAAAACCCTAATTTCCTTAGCAAAGCCTTTCCATCCATAACCAAATTTGATGACATGTTACCTTATATTTTGAGGCTAATCATTAAAACCAAAAGCATTGGTTGTTCAATTGCAGGATTTTTTCAGTTTTCTTCAAATTCTTGAGGTTAAAATCAATCTTCACTTTTGTTTTATTCTTTCTTTTTACATAAAAGTAGTGATTTTATTTCTTCATTTTCTTTCGAGTTATTTATATTGCATTTGACATTGTTTGATATGATGTTGGGGAGAAAAAACAAAGCCCAATCTAGATCAATCTGTTTTCTCAAAGTTTATTTAATTGCTACTTAGGGTGGTATTTTAGCTTTTAAAGGGTTGGTGTAGCGGACAACTTGTAGTTCTTCGCTCGGTATACATTATTTCTGATTGTTGGTAAAGGAATTTCGTAAGTCATAATGTTAACATTCATTTTTTAAATTGTTTCAGGTCATACACTATGGAGTAGAAGTCTTTCTTTGTAATGGATTTAATAAAATACATTATGTTTTTTTTTTAAATTGGGTATTAATATGTTTTATTTTTACAAACTTGTGTACATTTTAATTAAATTTTTAAGGTCAAGTATTATTTATTGATAATATTTGAATCAAGATGAATGAAAAATAGGTATAACATTTTCCTGGCATTAGTATTATCGGAAAAATCTTCCTCTAATTAGTACCAGCATTAAAAAAGATTTTTAAATGCACGTATAAAGGCAAATCAAGAGTAGTTTTAGTTGCTATTGTAATTTACGCTAAGAATATCCTTTTATTTATTTTTTTATTTTTTTTACTGGCAATAAATGGGTCTTTGCCGGCAATAACAATGGCCGTCGATATATGAGTTAGCATATTTCAAAGACAATGTTAGTGGCTATTGTAATTGCCAGTAAATAAATGTCGGTAAAAGTAATAACTTATAGCGGCAATAATTAGTGTCTTTATCAACATTTGATAAAATTGCCGCTAAAACCTTTAGCGACGCGGGATACAACGACAAATAATTAATTACCGGTAAAGGTATTTGCGGCAATTTCTATTGCCGCTAAAGGGAAATATAATGGCCGCTAAAAGCCATTTTTGTTGTAGTGAGTTCCCTACAAACTGAGGCAATATGCGGACCGCACATTGAATTGTGCGGTCGTAGAACCTCTCGAGAAGCATTTTTATCAGCGAAATTTGGATCACTATAAATAGACGAGAATCAAATATTTAGGTCAAGTTTTGAAGTTTTAGCAGCTGTAGCCGTTGTAGTTTTCCATTTTAGGAAATTTGTGATCATTTTAGGATTTAAACATCATAGTTTATCATTTTAATTTTATATTATGGGATAAATTAATATTTCTTCTTTATTTTCTTCATTTCTACTATGGGCAGCTAGACTTTTACTAGGGTTGTGACCCAACTCTAGTGTGTAAAACTTATGAGTATTTAATTTAATGCTTGTTTATGATTGTGTGTTGATTATTTAGCCCTGTTTATGCTTTAATTTTAGAATTAATGGTCGCAAACATAGATTCATGCCTTTTTGACTTGGTATTTACTTGAGAAAGATGAACCTAGTCTAGTAAAACTTGGGCTAATTAAGGATTTGATGGGCTAATTAAGGATTTGATTAGCCCTATTAAAGGGTTTGAATTAGAGATAAGGAAAACCCGACTTGAGCTCATATCAACTATTTAGCTTGATACCTATTTGGGCTTGAGAAAGCCAAATTGGGCAAAATCACTCTATGACCGAGAGTTATTGAGTAGGTAACTTAGAGTTGAGAGCTATAATACACCCCGATCAATAAAACAAGTGTTAACGTACTTATCACATTAGGCGAACACCTAGGTGAAGGTCACATCCCTAGGCATTTTAACCATTTGGTAAAAGCAACAAAAACAATCACTCATTTTTAATTTCTTCTCATTAGTTTATAATTGCTAATGTTAATTTAGAAGTAGAAAACATAATCCCTTGTTTGTGTCACGATCCAAATTTTCCTCTGTAAGATGTCATGATGGCACCTAGTTTTAGGGATTAGGTAAGCCTAACACCTACTGAATTAGTGGTGACTCAACCAACAAGTATTATGTCACGACCAAATATTCAACTAGCCGTGATGTCACCTAACCTCACCCGCTAGGCAAGCCAAATAAAAACAATCCAATTCAGTTAATATTTAACTAACTCTAACACACTCCACAAGTAGTACAAATCATGAGCTTCTAAGATTAGAATTTACAAAACTAGTGTGAAATAAAAATTCGTCATCTGTTTGAAATATACATGAACAGATTAAAATTCTAAAGCTACCATGAATAAGAGGCAGCAATGACTGGAATGCAGGTACATCTTCAGATCCAGCTCCCACCGTACGCCGCAACATCAACATTAAAAATCTGCACGCAAGGTGCAAAAGTGTAGTATGAGTCCAATCGACCCTATGTACTTAATAAGTAACAAACCTAACCTTAGATTGAAAGTAGTGACGGGTTAGAACACAGGTCAAAGTCCAACACCAATAGCCAACAACAGCTCATAATAATATAATAAAAGTGGTACAAGAAATAACTCAGAAATAAAATGTTCAGCTCGTTCACAGTTCTAGAAAATAGACATGCCTTTCAAGTATAATAATGAAATCCAAATCTTTTACCGAAAATACCAAAAATATGAGTAAGTTCGTAAAATCATGATTTTCCTTCCAAAATATTTCAACAGGTAAATGTTTCATTATCAAATGGCATGAAAAGAAGTACATCTCTATGCCTACATGTCAATTTATATGAGATGTCATGAATGACGTGATACAGTACAACATAAGGAAAAATACGTCTCTATGCTTGTATGTCAAGCATGCATGTCAATGTAGTACAACATAATGAACAATCATATGCATATTCGCAGAGTATCAATCCACTCAGTCCTCCCAATCACTCGACACTCGCACTAAATAGGTACCTGCGCTCACTGGGGGTGTGTGCAGACTCCGGAGGGGGTCCTTCAGTGCGCTATAATCCACACGGACAACTCACGTGCTGCATGGATAAATCACGTGCTATAATATAAATATCTGTATCCGCACGGAAAACTCACGTGCTGCTCGGATAACTCACGTGCTATAGTATCAATATCTGGATCCGCACGGACAACTCACGTGCTGCACGGACAACTCACGTGCTATAGTATCAATAACCTCACAATGAGACCCTTGGCCTCACTCAATCATCAATCTCTCTAGTCTCTTGGGCCCACGATGTCATGAAACTAGCCCAAAAATAATGATATGATGTGTCAATATATAGCAACAGAGACTGAGATATGATATGAAATGAATGAACATGACTGGGTATGAAATTTTAATGTAAGCAAATAACTCAACAACAGTCATGACCTCAAATAACTCAACAACAGTCATGACCTCAGTGGGTCCCAACAGAATAAACATGTAGCCTAGACTTGGTTTCTAACATGGATCACAACTCAATAACTCTAGTACGTAGAGATTTCATGATTGCAGATAAGTTCAGGTAACTACACAACATCACAGAAATAACGGAGTTACAATTAACCCGGTGCATGCCCACACGCCCGTCACCTAGTATGTGCGTCACCTTAACAACAAACACATAACATGAAATTCGGGGTTTCATACCCTTAACACTAAGTTTAGAAGTGTTACTTACCTCGAACAAGCTAATTCCAATACCGAGCAAGCCAAGCGATGCTCCAAAATATCATCCCGCGCGTACCGACCTCCGAGTGGATCGAATCTAGCTAAAAGAAACTCAAATACATTAAATAAAACCTAAGGAAACAATTCCAATTGATAAAGGTCGAATCTTAATAAAAACCCGAAATCGACCCAAAATCCCAACCCGGGCTCGCGCCTCGGAACCCGATGAAACTCACAAAATCTGACAACCCATCCAATTACGAGTCCAACCATACTAAATTTACCAAATTCCGACATCAACTCGACCTCCAAATCTCAAATCTTATTTTCAAATCCCTAGGCCCAATTTCTCGAATTATACCTCAAATACACGTAATCTAGTCAGAATACTTAATGATAATTCAATATTATTGACTAACAATGATCATAAGTGACTCACCTCAAGTTCTCCCGTGAAATTCCTTTGACAAATCGCCCCAAACCGTGTGTTAGAACTCCAAAATGACAAAAATGTTGGACCCTTATATTTTTGTAGCCTGCCCAGTGTTCTCGCTTCTGCGGAACATTTAATCGCTTTTGCAGAGAATCTACCATTTCTACGGTTAGCCAAGGCTTCATTACCTCCCGCTTCTGTAATTATGCTTCCGCTTCTGCGGTCTCCGACGCACCTTCAATTCCTTGTCCGCATCTGCGATCACGCAGGTGCAGAAGTTTTTCCCTCGCACCTGCGGCCACTGTCCGCTCTCCCTTTTCTGCTTCTGCGCTCCTAGGCTCGCTTCTGCGATCTTGCACCTGCGAGTCAAGTTCCGAAGGTGCGATTGCATCCGATGGCAAAAAGCTTCCAGCTTTGTTCTAAGTCCGATTTTGATCCGTTAACCATCCGAAACTCATCCGAGGCCCCCGAGGCCTCAGCCAATTACACCAATGAGTCCCAAAACATCATACAAACTTAGTCGAGCCCTCAAATCACATCAAAAAATGCTAAAACCACGAATCGTACCCCAATTCAAGCCTAATGAAAACTAACAAATTTCTAACTTCTACATTCGATGCCGAAACCTATCAAATCAAGTCCGATTGACCTCTAAATTTGCACACAAGTCCCAGATGACCTAACAAAGCTATTCAATTTCCAGGAACCACAATCCGAACCTGATATCAAAGTCAACTCCCGGTCAAGCTTATGAACTTTCCATTTATAACTTTTGCCATTTCAAGCCAAAATCAACTGCGAACATCCAAATAAATATCCGGACACACTCCCAAGTCTAAAAATCACCATACGAAGCTATTGGAGCCATCAAAACTCTATTCAGGAGTCGTTTGCACAAAAGTCAAACTCCGATCAGCCCTTTTTATTTAAACTTCCAACATGAATTTGCTTCATTCGAACTACTCTTGAAACACTAGAAAACCAAATCCGACAATACACACTAGTCATAATACATTATCTGAAGTTATTCAGGACTTCAAATAGTTGAAAGGAGCATAAATACTCAAAACGACCGGTCTGGTCGTTACATATTAAATATGAAATAGAAATTTTCTACAATCCCAAAATTGGTAGTACAAGTCACAAGCTCTACAGAGTTTACTAGAAAAATATCTAAATACAATTATTCCAGAATAGGATCAACAATGCAGAAAAATATGAGAAGATGACTCTGAAACCTGCGAACGCGATAACATGTATACCTTAAGTTTCCACAGCAATGTCCAATCAATTAGCAAGATTATCAACAACACCGAGGAACCTAGATCTGCACAAAAATGTGCAGAAGAGTAGCATGAGTACACCACAATGGTACCCAGTAAATATCAAGCCTAACCTCGGTAGAGTGGTGATGAGGCTAGGTCAAGACACCTACCAGACATATAAACCTGTACAAAATGCTACATAAAGCTAACAAGAAAAGAATCAATGTATGTCCAATAGCAAAAGAATTTTCAATTCAAATCAACAATGAGAACAATGAGTACACGGATAGCAACGAGAAAACAATGAAGTAATTAAGCAACTACATAGTCAGAGTACAAATGACATATGAATGGGTTCAAGTAAGGAATCATATGACAAATCAATCAATTAAATTATTTATGATGCATGTATTTCAACATAAATTACTGATCACGCCCAACTATTCCTTAAAAAAAGGACTAAGCGGTCGTTGCAAATATATTCCAGTTAACAAGTACGGAGTCGAATCCCACATGGAATTAACCTATTAAGCACAGCTACTAGACTCGCACAAATTCACGCAATCAATATTTAGAAATATTTAAATAACAAATTGGATGTTTACTAACTAAATATCACGTAATAAAAATGTAGTAATTAATAACTAACTACGAACAGGTTGTAGACAAGATTTGGAATGGTCTAAGGTTTTGATTTCCCCTATTGTCAGAATCCTTTCCGCTATGTTTCCTATAAATTTGCCTAAGTTTTCTCTTCTAATCATGAGCTCTCTGAGTTCGTAATTCTCTTCTGAGTAACTACCATAATTTACTAGACATATTCTTCCGAATTACGCTAGCTGGCACTAAGTTACAGCTCACTCGGATCGCACCAAGGTTTCGTTATTCCTAATTCCACCTTTAAACCCTTCGTATTGATCCCTCATATACATTAGGAGTGATGTTGTTCAACAACTACCTAAATATGCACTCTCTTTCGAGTAATACACACTAAATAAGCACAGTCGATAGAGAGCTCTTCAACCAACCACAATATAAACGTAGTTTAACAAATAGAGAAAAACTACAGCAAAACTATATTAACGTAACAGGAAAATCATCCTCCAATAGGTTCCATCAAAACCCTAGATTAGACGTTTATCTACTCATACTCATAGTAATAATATCCCAAGTATTATGCATAAATAAATTACAAAGTAAAGATGAAGGAATGTAGAAATCGATGATTCTCTCCCCCAACGGGTGTTCCACAAGCTATTCTTGCCTCCGGTCGCAAAAATTCCTTCAAAAATGGTGTTTAATGTCTATTTATATGTGTAGAAAAAGACCTAAACGACATAACCCAAGTCCTAGTCAAATAAGGAGACGAAATAAGCCTTCAAAATCCAGATCAGGCTCGCCTCAGACCGTGCCTCGCGAGGTAAAACGCGAGATGCATCTCGCCGCAGAGCGTGCGGTGCCAGGCATTCAGCACGCTCATCCTCGCCTTACCCCTCGCGTCGCCTGATCCCACGCGAGCTCAGAGGCTCGCCTCGCTAGCTCTAACGCGAGCTCCATAGCTCGATTCGCCAGCTTCTTCATTTCCTCTCTGCTCACTTCTTTCTTTCTTCTTTCCAACTGTTTTCGAGCACGCTTTAAATCTTCCTTTTTGCTCTAATTTCATCTCCAATGTACCTACACATAAAATAAACTCCATTACATGCAAATAAAGTATAGTTTGGCATTAAAGCACCTAAACTGTAAGGTACATAATGTACTAAAATATGGAATTATAGCTGAACATCAATACCCCACACTTAAACGTTGCTCGTCCTCGAGCAATCAAACTACACTTATAGACACGACCTTTTTAAGCAATTTCCTTAACTCGTCACACCAAGTATCTTTAAAATATACTAAGCACAAAGGTGTAACATCCTCACCTCAAGATTTGACTCACAAATATCATGCATTATTCATAATTCACTTACTTACTCTAACATGGAGGTCAACGACATTACCTCTCCATCATGAATCACCTGTCCTCACACAACAAAAGAGATTAGTTCCACACACAATAAATTTTAAGACCGTAGGAACTCAAGATAGGAAGAATTCACTCGCTCTCAAAAATAACGTTCATATGCCACAAATGATGCACCATAGGCTTGCCCGTAGTGTAATACCCTACTAATCGCGCTCATTTAGTCTAGGATCAAGTAGGACTTTAACTGGTTGTAATGTAAGCTGCGGGTCAGGTAGGATACATTTGGATATGAGTGATTACACCTCCCTTAAGCACTTTAATACATATACTTTAACACTCGAGCCTATACTTATGTCAAACCAAAACTTCACCTTCACATCAATGTATATTACCCCATACTTCTTTAAGAACAATTACATTACTAGCCACCACCATCAAGAATTATTTTTCATACAATACAACTATATATATATATATATATATATATATATATATTTTATTTTATTTTTCAAAACGGCGCACCTTTCTCCTTATTCCATTTGTTCTACTCAAAAGCCAAACCACCACCCCACACTTTAACTTTTACATAATCCATTATAATTCAAGTGCTCATGAAAGGTGACAAGGTTTAAATATATGGTCAATTCAAACAAAGGGTAAGGTTTGTAATTTGTTTACCAAAGAAACAGGATTATAGGCTCAAGGGGGTTGACTACGTTATATGACATTTAGGCTGGTAAACTATATATATCTGGCTCAACAAAAAAACGCCTATATCACTTCCTATACTGAACAAGACTACTATTTCGCTTTGCACACACACGGGGCAAGTTCTAGACATCAGTTGTACTGCATAGAATACATACAAACCTCACACAGACATGACACATAACTCACTCAGGATTGGTTTTATCACGACACTCTAGTCAAAGCAGTTAAGCAAATTTAAGAATCTACGATTTAAGGTACTTATACTATAGTCAAACACTGAGACGAAGCGTCACAACCAGAGTACTTCACTATTCTCAAGTCATAACAAAGTCGAGAGATATCGCTGCAATTCAATTCATAGCACAATGATTTCTACTCCTTAAAATTAAAACAAACTACACCCGGTTCAACTAAAACCTTTGGAAAAGAACCGCGACACAAAGAAAAATCAAGGGGGCATTACTACACTACCTACAAGAAAATCTTTTTGTTTTTTTTCTTTAGACTTAATTCCCTCAAGAAAACTGTTTAGGAGATCCATCGTCGGGAAAAGTCTAATTTTTCTACTTTTTATTATATCAGGCTAAGACGACACTAAATAAAAAAATAACTAAAACAAGACTAATATTTTCAAGTTACCACCCACCCTTATTTCATGCAATGTCCTTAGTGCATACTCAAATAGACAAAACAAGAAAAAATAACAAGTAGGGTGTATGAAAACTCCTTGATCAAGCTTCGTCATCGCCTTCATCCTCGAAGGCTGCCCATTCCTCATCTTCTGCTTCCTCCCCCTCCTCCTCTTCCTCCTCCTCATCATCCTCATTTGACTGCTCCGGCTCGACCTCGGACTGCTCAGGTGTGTTGACATCCTCATCCTCTAGGAGTCTGTAGCCATCACCAAGCCCAACCAACTGCTGAGCATGAGCATTGAGCGGGAAACGCTCCTCGAATATGTCCATCTCCTCTATAGTGGCCGAACGTCCCCCAATCCGAGGCTGCAAGTCCATCATCCCATATAAATGGGCCATAAAGCTGTCATCGCGAGCATTGCGCTTGGAACCTGTCATTGATGGCATAACAGTCTCCTCCTTAACCCGGACGCTTGTAATGTCCATTAGTCGTAGAGGCTGATCAATGATGTGATCGAAAGCTTTCTCCTCCTCTACCTCTTCCTGTCTCAAATAGTGTGTTAACATGTTTGCAAAGGGCATTCGATTAATTCTCTTACTAGTTCTCACTTGAGTCATCTGGTAGCGGATCAAATGAACCACATTCACCCTCTGGCCAGTGATGAGGAAATATAGCACACACGTCCTCTCACGGCTAATAAGAGTGTCATGATTGCAAGGTAAGAGCCGTGTATTAATCAATTTCAGCCATACTTGAGCCTCTGCCCTCATCTTCTTCTTGGGGAATTTCCTATGACGATTAGTTTTCTTATCCCGAACCCACACCGCCACAGAATTGACACCACAAATAGTGTGTCTCAGTTTTCGATATGTAGGATGGGTGATGAAATTGTCCAAGGGTTCCTGAGGAACATCTGGAGCACCTAAGAAATTGCATATTGGTAAGGCTGAAAAATCTATCAACCTTCCCCGAATGGGCACCAGCTGCTCAGGATCCTTTGGATCAAAACCGACATAAAATTCTCGAACCAGATTGACATTGATATCCCCGGTATTTTTGAACACATAATGCAACCCAACTCATTAATACTTCTCCAGATTGCTTGGTACTTGGCTTGTAGGTGACTCTCATGAATAGCAGATTCCAGATGTATATGTCTGGGCCTACAACGTTTGTACCAGTCCTTAACATGTGGAGGTATACTCTTTAGTCCAAACTCCCTTTGTCCTTGAGGTTGTGGGCGAGTGGCTGCTATAGCTGCCACTACTTGTAGTTCTTCAACTTGACTTGAAGTGGCTTCCAACCCTTTTCTCTTCTTCGGTGGAGGTACAGAGGGAGCCTTAGCCTTAGATGGAGCAGTGGATGTGGCTTTGCCTTTACCGGTGTCCTTCCTTGGAGGCATGTTTGTATCTACACAAGTGCATGAATCAGTTTAGGGTGCATTGCAAAATTCAAAACATGGTCTTGCGACCCCACACTTAAGAGTTCAACACATGATTTTCAATAATTTCCGAGGTTACTCAGACTTCACCTCATCTTTTCTTAGTATAAGAATCAAGAAATGACACATGGGTGCTTCCTCCAATTTCGAAGTATCGGGATATCAGTGAGCCACCCCACACTTCAAATTTTAAAGTGGTGCCCGGTTACATAGCACTAGTCTTACAATCCCGAAGGGCCCTAATGAGGACAAAGAATGCCTTTGGAGCATTATGACAAACACTTAGCATGCACCAATGCCATGGGAGTTCTTGTAGGGATGGGGGATTGCCTCACCCTCCCAAATCGGCTTGGGATTTCTGCACTACCGCTTGTTCACACAATAACAATACCATTCCTATGGGGTGTTCATGGGGTTGGGACACACAAACACATTGTTACAATGAAGAACAATCCCAAAATTTGTATCCAATGACATGCATTCACCCAATTCGAAAATGCCAAAGAATGGATGTAGAAATCATACCTTAGATGTGTAAGAGGACGGATTGCCCTTGAATTGATGTTGCAGGTGAAGGAAAGAGCAGAGAATGCTTGTCTTCAAAGGGTTTATGATGGATGGTTCTTGAGGCATGAGTGTGTGAGATTGTTATGAGTGATGTTTGAGGCATTTAGTTTATGTTTTAAGTGAAGGGTTTTAAAAGGAACAAAACAAAAAGATTAAAAGAAAACTGGAAAATTTTTTACCTGGCGACGCGAGGCTAATAGCACGCTATACCCCGTGCGAAGCGAGCTCTAACACGAGCTGTGGGGCGCGTGACGCGAGACATTATGTGCGTTGCACCTTGCTGTAACCCATGCGAGGCAAGCTCCCGCGCAAGATCGCTGGGGACCTGGCGACGCGAGTTCCAGTGCACGATCCGCCGAAATTGCCTGCAAACATGTTAGTTCCTACAAACGAAAAGAAAAATTCTAATTATGCTAAAAATCAACTACGAATTGGGTTGCCTCCCAATGAGCGCCTTAGTTAATGTCACGGCATGACGAATACAACAATACAATGGGTTGCCTCCCATGAAGCGCCTGATTTAACGTCGCGGCATGACGCATGCAATCGACTTAAGGCTCGCTCAACATTGTTGGCTCAAGCAAATGAGTCACTGATACTACTTTCGTCTCATCCATGCCCAAATAATGTTTCAACCTGTGACCATTGACTCTGAACTTGCGAGAACCATCTTCTGAAGCAATCTCTACAGCTCCGGTGGGATGAATCTCTAGAACACGAAATGGTCCTGACCATCTTGACTTCAATTTGCCTGGAAACAACCTCAATCTCGAATTGAATAATAATACCACCTCTCCCGGCTTAAAAGTTTGCTCAAGAATGTTTTTGTCGTGTACCATTTTCATTCTTTCCTTATATAACGTTGTACTCTCAAAAGCATGGTAACAGAACTCGTCAAGTTCATACAACTCTGTGACTCTACTAGTTCCAGCGGCCTCCAAGTTCAGATTTAATTCTCGTAACGCCCAGAAGGCTTTATGCTCTAACTCCACCGGCAAGTGACATGCCTTTCCAAACACCAATTTATATGGTGACATACCAATCGGAGTTTTGAATGCAGTGCGGTAAGCCCATAGCACATCATCCAATTTTCTCGCCCAATCAGTCCGAGTAGCATTTACAGTTTTGGTCAAAACACTCTTGATTTCTCTGTTTGACACCTCGACTTGCCCACTTGTTGGTGGGTGATACGGAGTAGCAACTTTATGGAGAACACCATATTTCTCCAATAACTTCGCAAAGGCTCGGTTGCAGAAGTGGGTG